TTCCATGGGCCCCTGTCAGGGATCCGGGTGTGAGCAGAGGTATGTGGACTGACACAGGGAAGTAACAGGCTTCAGGAATGATATAATAACAATATACTTATTATTAGCCACCCAAATATACAACGCACAGTAAACAAACCAACCTTCCACTAATCTTAGTATGTGCAGGAACACAGACGTAGTCAGGGCTGGAGAGGTGGAATGGTCAGGCGGGCCGTAAGGTACTGTCAGGCACCGCCCGGCGGGATCTCTAGTGACCCACAGAACAGGATTCCCCAGGGCGCGGAGTCTAAGCCCCAGTCTGCCTATTCACCAGAGCCCCTGATGGTGGGGATGGACTTGGCGCAGGAATGAGACCAGGTCGTGGCCCCTGAGTGCACCCAACTGTGGTAGAGGGGTCCGCCGAGGGTATGTACTGGGGGAAAGCCTGATGTGAAGGGGCTGGCAGGTTTGGACAGTAGTGACTGGATCCGTGCGGGATGGATGGATTGTCTGGGTAGCGTCAGGCGTAGTCAGGCAGGCCAGGTCAGCAACGTACGGGCAGTGAGGTACCGGAGGAGCAGGCAGAGAATAGTCAGGGTCACAAGCCGGGTTCAGTAACTCACGGGCAGCGCGGTACAGAGGATCAGGCAGAAGAATGGTCAGGCAAGCCAGGGGTTCAACAGGAGACGGTCAGCAGAGGTCAGGATCAAAGCAGGGTCAGCAACTAGGCAGATAGGCAGGAACACAGGATACCAGGTACAGGGGCTCATGGGAAACATACACCAAGGCACTGACTGCAGGTCTGGCCATTCCTTAAATACACCTCCTGCAATCAGCCTCAGGTGATGGCTGACTGCAGGAGTGAGCTTCTGGTTGCTGAGAGCACCTGCTGGCCAGCCCTGGTACTGCAGCCCACAAGGCAGGTGAGTCCCACCACCATTGGCAAGTCCATTCCTGACAGCCCCCCACCCAAAGTGACTCCCGTCACAGAGAGGAACTGGGATTCAAACTTGATTATAATTGTAGTTACTCCCTACATGTTTCACCCTCACGGCTTCTTCAGGGGAGATTTTTGAAGAGATTTCAACTGCCGAGGCAGTCTAAAGGTATTTTTGCTGTGAGGACGAAAACATGTAGGGAGTAACTACAATTATAATCAAGCTTGAATCTCAGTTCCACTCTTAGTACTCAGAAACAATTGAATACTGACGTGATACTTTTTTATTTGCACTAACATACAATTTTGAGAAAAAGCTTTCAGGGTATGTCCCCTTTTTCAAGGTCCAGGCAGTACTACTTCACTTCACTGGTTTTTGTTTTTTTTCTCCCTTTTTCAACATTTCTTTTAACATTCTGCTAAAACTTTATGAAGTAGTACTGCCTGGACCTTGAATTTGACTCGAACATGTGCCATTCAGCGAACACACGAAGGGTATGGGTGCTTGACGGGCTGTTCCCCGCCGAGCCCCACAATGCACTGCACCCTGACAGTGCATTGTGATTGGTAAAAGCAATGCACCCTACCACAGGTCAGATGCAATGCTTTGTCCAATCACAGAACAGGATGACTGTCCATTCGAGCACTCAGGCACTGCCCGAGGGCCCGGGGGTCATTAAGGGACCCCATGAAACACCCCTAATACCTTTTTTATAGGCTTTTTTGAAGGTGCTTTGAGTGTGGGCAAGGACACAGGGGCCCCATGATCCCCTATTGCCCGGGGGCCCCATGAGTTGTCAGTCCGCCCCTGATGACATCATAAGAGGTGAACCCCCACCCCCTTGTGACGTCATAACAGTATTTCAGAACTGTCATTGGGGTGCAGCTGTCAGGCGGTGAGAGTCAACGTCATGAGCAGAGCTGTTTTTTTTTTTCTGTTTTCAGGTAGCGGCGGCAGCGGGCATTGTGATTGACGTTGGATCTACTTCAGGGGACGGTTTTTAACTTTTATTGTCAACCCCTTCATGTCCGGACACTTTCCCCCCCTTCCAGTCCGGACACTTTCCCCCCTTCCAGTCCGGACACTTTCCCCCCCTTCAGTCCGGACACTGTCCCCTCCTTCTTGCCCAGGACAATTTTCAGATTTCAGCGCTGTCACACTTTGAATGACAATTGCGCGGTCATGCAACGCATTTTTTTGAGACAGATAAAACTTTATTTTGTTGGTATTTATTCACCCCTGGGATTTTAATTTTTTTTGCTATATAAATGAAAAAGTCCAAAAAATTTTTTTAAAAAGTGTTTTTCTTGTAAAATTTGGAAACTAAATAATCTTTCTTTATAAATCTCGCCCAAACATTTATTCAATTATCTTTTTAGTAAAAAAAAAATAACCCAAAATTAGTTTATAACCAAAAAATAGAATTTTTCTAATTTTTGTTCTACATTTTAATTTTATTTTTTTTTATATTATTATTTATGTTTTTTTTACATACTGTCACCCTAGCAGTGTGGGGTCTCCATGGTGACACTGTACTACTTGTTGGGGGTGATGAAGATTTATGTTTTTTTGTACACTGATTGCTTTTACTCCCATAAAGGCTGTAAGAGGAATCATTTCTCCTCTTTGGCTGCATTCCTGCAGCCATTGAGAAATACTGTGAGAGCTGTGATTGGTCACAGCTTGTCACATGGTACAAGGCTGTTGTGAATGGCCCTGTACCATGTGATCTCTGTGATCATTCACAGATTTCACACGTAGTAAGCAATGATGTCAGAAGTGACATCTTGCTTACTACTCTGCGTGTGATCACTGATTGGCCAATCAGTGATCACATGATCGGGACTTCGCACAGAGGTCCCGATCGGTGTTCCACTGTGTCTGGAGGACACAGCGGGCACCGGATGGCGGTGCTGCACGCTCCCAGGGAGCGCGCACAGTCCACAATGGCGGGCGCCGTTTATGAACGGCAACCCGCCCCTTGACTGCCACCGTCCGGCCGTTTATATATACAGCGGCTGGGTGGCAAGTGGTTAAGTTACATAGGTCGTTCAAATTTCATATGTTGGTGGAGCAACTCTTCCTCCATACAAAAGGTACTACTCAACATAGTCTGTTGGCCAATCATGGCCAATCAGTGATCACATGATCGGGACCTCACACAGAGGTCCGTACAACGATTGGTGTTCAGAAAGCAGTGCCACGTGCTCCCAGGGATTGAGGAGGGATTGAGGAGGACGTTTATAAACGGCCACCCTCTCCTGCACTGCTCCCATCCGGCTGTTTATATACATGGGCCCAGGGGAGGACTGACCATTTGGAAACTCGGGCACTGCCCGAGGGCCCGGGGTCAGTAGGGGGCACCATAAGATGCCCCTGGTACCTTTTTCATAGGTTTTTTTGAGTTTGGGCAAGGACACAGGGGCCCCATGATCTCCTATTGCCCGGGGGCCCCATGAGTTGTCCAGTCCGCCCCTGCATGGGCCGGACAGGAAGTGGTTAATAAAGGACTTGTTAATGACTGTCTCCTGACATTTATTACACTACACTTTTTTTTTGTGATTGGATAGCGGCCCCATGTACCCCATACTCGTTCACATTGGGTGGGGGCAGAATCTGGGGGCACCCTTGTTAAAGTGGGTTTCCAGATTCCATTAAGCCCCCCACCCGCAGACCCCACAGCCGCAGCCCAGGGTTGCGGGGAAAAGGGACCATCTTGAGGGCATGTGCCCTGGTATGGTTCAGGAGGAGGGGGCGTTAACTCATTTTTAAAAAAATTTTGGCGTGGGGGTTCCCCTCAAAATCCATACCAGACCTGAAGGGCTTGGTATGTATGGGAGGGGGGACCTCATGTAGATTTTTCCATTCTGCTGTCAGTGGGGAACCCCACTGACACCGGAGACATGAATGAATGTCTCACTACTAACATACCACGTGACTTCATCATAGAACGCCCGCCGGATTGTAGTCACTGAGTGGGACCACATACTCAGATGCAGGAAAACACCGCTCAGTATATTGTTCGTTTTCAAAGTTTGCGGTCGAACATCCTGTAGGTTCGGATGTTGGACCGCGAACTGAACGGGGGGGGGGGGGGTGTTCAGCAATAACACTTGGTGACACCCCCTCCGACGATCCCGCAGAATGGATTGGATCTGCGGATTGAGCATAGTGGATTGGGCTCCGATCCATTATGCTCAATCCGCAGATCTGATCCATCCTGCGGGGATCGTTGGCTTGTTTTACAACTTACCTTTTCGTGGAGCGGGTCCGGTGTCACGACGTGCAGTAGGTGTCACTTGATGCGGTGCGCACCCCCAGCACCTGCCTAGGGACGCCACAGGTTGTGCCCATCACTAGTGAACTCCTCCACCGTCAGGCACTGATCAGCATCTGCAGCCACCGAGAATTCCAGCCCTGGTGTCACTGAAGCCATCGATACCAAGACCATTGCAACCTCTATGACGAAACGCGTCGGGGGGTGTGGCCAGGATGGAGATAGACTGAGGCTGCTGACAACACTTTGATGCACGGGGTTGCTTGGTGTGCGGCTTGCCGGACATCGCTTTCATTCTTCCAGGCTCAGACAGTAGTCTAGATCAGTATTTCTCAACCAGGGGCAGACTGACAACTCATGGGGCCCCCGGGTAATAGGGGCTCATGGGGCCCCTGTGTCCTTGCCCACACCCAAAGCACACCCAAAAAAGTCTATAAAAGGTACCAGGGGCATTTCATGGGGCCCCCTTCTGACCCCGGGCCCTCAGGCAGTGCCCGAGCGCTCGAATGGTCAGTCCGCCCCTGTTCTCAACCTTTTTGGAGTCAAAGCACCCTTTAAAATGATGGACAGTCTTGAGGCCCCCCATTCTAAAATGTGAAAAATGATTATAATTGTTTTATATAACGCAGCAACACCCACACATGTAGGACACCCAACGTTAGAGGTGGTTTAGTCTTCCAAAGCAAATACACTTTTGCGCTCTGGTAGGAACCTCAAGGCATTGTTACATAGTTAGTCTGGCTGAAAAAAGACAAAAGTCCATCCAGTTAGCACCCCAAGCTGGTCGAGAAAGGCTGGTCTAGATGGACCATTAACCCCCCTGGTGGTATTCCTGAGTGTAGCTCGGGTAAAGTTTCAGAGCCAACAGCGGTAACCCCCCCCGGGCTACACTCGGGAATACACTGCAGCGTTGCTCCGGGATCTCTTCTTCACTTACCTTGTCCTGCGCTCCCGCGATGTCCCCCCTGCAGTGTCCCCGCAATGTCCTCCGATGCCGGCATCTGTCTTCCGGGTTCCGTTCCCTGCGACGTCGGGACGTACGGGGGACGGAACTGGCGGCGGGAAATTCAAAAATGTGAAAAAGTGACATTCACCAAATCCACTAAAATCACATCGTATAACATTCCTGTATCAAACCATTTCACATACATTGTGTCCCGAGTGCTTTGTCCGGCGCCCTGCCTGCATTTTTACCGCCCTTTCTGCCTGGAAACTGAGAAACGTCCATGGCGTCCAAAAAGCGTCCCCTTTAGGTCAGACGCGGTTTTAGACCGGCTAGAGAACAGCGATAGTAAATCAGAACCACTTGCAGAATTGAGTGATAATGATTGGTGGGGGAAATTCCTCATCAGACACTGAAAACGATTCTGCGACTGAGCTCAGCGATGGGCCAACTTGGCGCTATATTTCACATTTCAGTGTTTTTGGTTTGATTATATTATTGAATTACATTTATTATTATTATATTATTATTATTGTTTATGATTATTTATTAAATTATAATTTATGATTTCGTGTTTCAAGTTTTATCCTCCCCGGGATGTTTACTAGACTCTTGTCCGGACAGATTTCAGGGAGTTATTCCTAAAAATTACAGGCCGACAATAAAAAAATACATATTTCCATGCAAAAAAAAGTACCGCTTTGAGCACAGAAATACTGACATCATCAGACCGCCAGGGAGGTTAACCCATCCTGCACCCTGGGTGGTATCCACCAGTCATGGCTGCACAAGCCGGAGAAGGGGACCCGAAGCTAAGTTATTAAGTTCGCACCAAATTTTAATTTCCAGCCTTATAGCAAGCAAACCAACGAACAAAAAATAAAATAACTGCGCATGCAAAAATATTCCTCGCCGTTCCCATGAATCTAAGTGACATTATGATTTATGCCGGCAACAAATCAATGGAAAGATAATTCAGGCCCCGGTGACAGACCGATACTGAAGCAATCAGTAGGCTGATATGCTAACTATTATTTCAAAACGCTACAAGTCTCCAGGGTGGGGCGGCCATTAAATCGGATCCTATAGGGGAGACGGCGCGCCATCGATTTTGGTTGCGCGACGGTCATTTATGATTATGTCAATGAGGAAAGTAGCGGTAAATATGTAAGAAACGACTACCGGTAACCATGAAGGACCGGAGGGAAAAAAAAAAAAAAAAATGTCAATGAAATGAAGTCTTTAGAAACACTTTATCTGTATTCATTCGTAAGCCGCCGTCGTATCGCATGAATCAAAATAGCGGCAACATTTGTTGCGGCGTTCAAGGTGTCATCACGCCGCTTGTAACAAATTACCATCTAATGGCGCGCTCGGGGCCCGACGTAAACATAGGTTGACAAAGTTTAAATTAGAAAAAACATCGGGGAAAAAAAAAAGAACCACCCACCCCCCCCCCCCCCCCCCCCCCCCCCCCCCCCCCGAGAAAAACACTCCGATCGATATTCTGCGGAGAGGACGCCATAGCAACCGGCGGCGGACTGATTGGTATTGCGCTCATTAGTCTAATGAAAGTTAAAAATCTGATTGTTTTATTTTATTGGTTTACAGCCCATTAATCTTGTTCTGCGGCTGTTACATTCACCTCGGGGGGGGGGGGGGGGACGCGGGGGGGGGGGGGGGTGAGGGGGGGGGGGCGGAGAAATCTTATACCTATTTGTCTCCGGGAACACGCGGAAAATCCCAGCTTTCCAAATCTGCCGCAACGTGGCTGAAAAATAGCGGGGGATGGTGGGGATGGTGTTTTTTTTTTCTTCTTTTAATTCATAAGAGCTTTTATTAGTATTGATGAAATGGACACAAAGTAACAACATCAACGGTGACAGACGTGCAGCTCTATTACATACGTGTTCAGTGAGGTAGATGGGACCGAGTCTCGGCATTATAACATACGCAGGAGGAGTGCATTACATAGATCGGTGGTCTCCAAACTGCGGCCCGGGGGCTGGATGCAGCCTTTTGCTTGCCTTTAACTAGCCCTTGGAGCATTATGCCTTTCACTGACACCAACAATGGGTATTCGTTCTACTGACACCAATGATGGGGCACTATTCCTCCCACTGACACCAATGATGGGACACTATTTCTCCCACTGACACCAATGATGGAGCACTATTCCTCCCACTGACACCAATGATGGGGCACTATTCCTCCCACTGACACCAATGATGGGACTCTATTCCTCCCACTGACACCAATGATGGGGTACTATTCCTCCCACTGACACCAATGATGGGGCACTATTCCTCCCACTGACACCAATGATGGGGCACTGTTCCTCCCACTGACACCAATGATGGGGCACTATTCCTCCCACTGACACCAATAATGGGGCACTATTCCTCCCACTGACACCAATGATGGGGCACTATTCCTCCCACCGACACCAATGATGGGGCACTATTCCTTCCACTGACACCATTGATGGGACACTATTCCTCCCACTGACACCAATAATGGGGCACTATTCCTCCACTGACACCAATAATGGGGCACTATTCCTCCCACTGACACCAATGATGGGGCACTATTCCTCCCACCGACACCAATGATGGGGCACTATTCCTCCCACTGACACCAATAATGGGGCACTATTCCTCCCACTGACACCAATGATGGGGCACTATGCCTCCCACCGACACCAATGATGGGGCACTATTCCTCCCACTGACACCAATGATGGGGCACTATTCCCCCCACTGACACCAATGATGGGGCACTATTCCTCCCACTGACACCAATGATGGGGAACTATTCCTCCCACTGACACCAATGATGGGCCACTGTTTTCCCAAGAGAAATGTCATTGGCACACCAAGGATGTGGGCCCAAAAAGACTTTAATGAAGGTTTACATCAGCAAGGTAGCTCGGTTCCAGCCGACGGTTGCTGAAGCGCCTGCCTATGTTTACAGCCATCTGAGCAGGAACGTGTGCGTTGGGATTAAGCATCTACTATTTCTCCCACTGACACCAATGATGGGACACTATTCCTCCTACTGACACCAATGATGGGACACTATTTCTCCCACTGACACCAATGATGGGACACTATTTCTCCCACTGACACCAATGATGGAGCACTATTCCTCCCACTGACACCAATGATGAGGACACTATTCCTCCCACTGACACCAATGATGAAGGACTATTCCTCCCACTGACACCAATGATGGAGCACTATTCCTTCCACTGACACCAATGATGGAGCACTATTCCTCCCACTGACACCAATGATGGGACACTATTCCTCCCACTGACACCAACAATGGAGCACTTTTCCTCCCACTGACACCAATGTTGGAGCACTATTCCTCCCACTGATACCAATGATGGGGCACTATTCCTCCAACTGACACCAATGATGAGGGCACTATTCCTCCCACTGACACCAACAATGGAGCACTTTTCCTCCCACTGACACCAATGTTGGGCACTATTCCTCCCACTGATACCAATGATGGAGCACTATTCCTCCCACTGACACCAATGATGGAGCACTATATCTCCCACTGACACCAATGATGGGGCACTATTCCTCCCACTGACACCAACAATGGAGCACTATTCCTCCCACTGACACCAATGTTGGAGCACTATTCCTCCCACTGACACCAATGATGGGACACTATTCCTCCAACTGACACCAATGATGGGGCACTATTCCTCCCACTGATACCAATGATGGGGCACTATTCCTCCCACTGACACCAATGATGGAGCACTATTCCTCCCACTGATACCAATGATGGGACACTATTCCTCCCACTGACACCAATGATGGGGTACTATTCCTCCACTGACACCAATGATGGGACACTATTCCTCCCACTGACACCAATGATGGGGCACTATTCCTCCCACTGACACCAATGATTGGGCACTATTCCTCCCACTGACACCAATGATTGGGCACTATTCATCCCAATGGCACCAAAGATTAGGCAACATTTACTCCCATTAATGCCAAGACATGTACTTTTCCACCTGGCTGCAGATTGCCCCCCCCCCCTAAGGTCTGAAGGACAGTAAACTGGCCCTTTGTTTAGAAGGTTTGGAGACCTCTAACCAGGGGCGGATAACCATTGGGAAACTCGGGCACTGCCCGAGGGCCCGGGGTCAGTAGGGGGCCCCATGAGATACCCCTGGTACCTTTTTCATAGGCTTATTTGAGTTTGGGCAAGGGCACAGGTGCCCCATGATCCCCTATTGCCCGGGGGCCCCATGAGTTGTCAGTCCGCCCCTGCCTCTAACGTAGACAATTGGCAAGTTCTCAATTTGCTGAAGGCAAATGAATTGAGAGACTTAACTCAGCATAAGTGCGAATAGTATAAAGTCCATATCAATGGAGAAGAATCAGCTGAGAAAGTATGAAAACCTAAAGCAGAAGTGCTGTGTGGATGTTGGGGACTTAGTAGTGGCCTTAAACTAGCCATGGATGGGTTGAAATTTCGATCCATGTTTGACAGAAGTCGATCTAAGAATTTGGGCTAACATACACTTTAGGTTTTCTAGGGTAGGTTAGGTACTTGTGCCGTCTTCATTCAGCCATACTCTTCACTGACCTGGCGCCATCTACAAAGACCCTTCTCCATAACATGAGCAAATATACCCACAGGGGTTCACATCTTTACATGCTCCTGTTCCATGACATCTGCTGGTCTCATTCCAGCATCTTGGTTTGGGCTGCAATACATTCTCCTTGTCTGTGTGTCCACCTGCAAGATGATTGATGCAGCCAGTCTCTGGGTGATTGAACCTGATTTAAGCCAGCCAAGCCTGCAGTCTCATGCTTGACATAATGTTTGTAACACGTGCTCCAAGCTCCCTGTTCGTCTGCCCTTCCTGTTAGTTTGGATTCCCTTGTAGACGACCTCGGATCGGATATCAAATATGCTCAGAACTCTTCCTGCACTGACCCTGGACTGTCACTGACCAATCTTCCTGTCTGCCAACTGCATGTACCTATTTATTATTATTATTATACAGGATTTATGGCGCCAACAGTTTGCTCAGCGCTGTACAATGTAACGGGAGACAATACAGCAACGATACAGTTCAATACAAGAGGGATAGGAGGGCCCT